TACTAAAGAATGGTACCTACACACAGCAAACAGCACTGCACACGCTTCAGGCATCTGTGACCTAAGTGAATGACATTTCTTTCTCTCTCTCTCTCTCTCTCTCTCACTTTGAATCAGACTTGAAATGAATTCACAACAAGCTTCAATGTGAAATATCAGCACGACAGAACAGACAACATGAAGTCATTCTGATAGAGACAGACAGTGACAAAACAGTCAAATTAAAATGTGCCGGGTTTCCAATCTGGCTGGTCCCAGGTCCTGGATTAAGCCCTGTCTGTCTCTCAAATATTTATATATGAGCACAGGTCAGTTTTACACAGACAGTTATATGACAGGAGCGTTAATCAGAGGCTGAATCAAATCATTTTCTGTAACTTGAAAGTATTGGATTTATTTTTCAAGAAAATAATGACATAAGGAAGTAATGGCATAATCACGTTTATGACTGCACCTTTGATGCAAACAGTAAAAGTTTCAGTTAATCATCTCCCCATTTCAATTACAATTTATGGTCTGTATGATTCAATAAAAAAATACATGTCTGAAAATTAAAAACCTTCAAAAATAGATTGAATTATGTGTTTATCTTATCAAATCGTGTTTCAAAATGTTTGAGATTGTGAAGTGAGAAAAATAGTCCCTCAGGGTGAAGAAAAAGTTAAGAATTAATTATTTCCTCTGCATCATTACTGCCTATATTAAGTATATAAAGCTGTAAAAAATATATATACTAATTTCACCTTGACATTAATTCTCAAGTTTCATTCAAAGACGAAAACAACTCACATTTCTGCATCTGTGCAGTAGTGCGAGAGTATTTGGTGTCCATTCTATTTCAAGCTTCGACAGCTGACTTCAGCGAGCAAGAGGGAACATCTTCTCAACCCAACGATTCGCTGCAACTCTATTGAAACCAAAAGACAAATGATCCTTTCTATGATCCTCCCCATCCAGAAAGTCATTTTGTCTACGTAATACAGAGCCGAGTACTGCTAGGAGTTTAAATGGGGAATGGGCACTGCTTTATTATGCTGCAGTGCCTTGAAATGAATGTGGATAATAGATATATTCACAGTGGTATTAATATCCTCAGAGCCCATCTTTTTTTTCTTCCCTCATTCTCCATTTTCTCTCTCACAGGCTCCAAAGTACTTTGCCCTTGGCTATGCCTTATACTAAATAGATTTATGAGAACATTTGTGTCATATTTCCTCTTTTTCCCGGATTGTCAAGACAGATTGTCACTGCACCACTGATTGAGTGGAATCACCACACAGACTTAGTTCCCATTGTCAAGCCCCACATATTCATCTCTGGGGGGGATTTAACAGGGCAAACGGGCCAATGGCACTTCTCCCAAGGCTTTGCACTCACTGCCCGGTCTTGCACTCTCATTACCTTAGCAACACACTACAACAGAGACATGTACATCCAGCCTCTGTGGAGTCTCAGAATCTGAGAATTTGAATCCATGTCAGTATTGACTACACAAAATATTGGGTGAGGAACAATAAGTTGAGGGGAAACACAGTTTAAAGTTATGATCTGATGTTACGATCTTATGATCACCACCAAAATAAAACAAGTTAGCGGAACAGACGCGACGCTGTAAATGTGTCACAAGAATTTAGCTCTTTATGAAAGTTTGGGGATGAATTTCTGAACAGTCTTTTCTTTATTTATGTGTTAAGTCAGTTAAATAAGATTGCTCATGAAATTCAACAATAAAGTGCCGTCTGAAATCTGAAAATAAAGTCAAGAGGATCAATCAAGGTGGAGTAAATACACTATACCACATCAATTAAACACAGCAAGTCAATCTTTGGAAAGTCATTCAAATATCTCACAAGTCTGCCAGCAACCATGTTTTAAGCAGAGCCCATTTACTATGAATTAAATTACCTAATAATTGCATTTAACACAACAGATCAGCTTTTTATCCTCTATGCAGTGGAGATAGTGTGTGACCAGTTATTGTGGGGAAAAGACACTGAGATGACATGAAAGAGCATTTTAGATGCTCAGGAGGCCTGAGACTCTTTCAGCAACACCAACCTCCTTTAAATCCTTCACCTCACCATGATTTATCAGCAGAGATCCAAGATGACATGGTGTCAGAGGGGGCTAAAAAATCCTCTGATCAGAGTGTGATGGAGCTCACAATGAAGTTTGGAGTAGTTTGGATACAAAGACAATAATAAAGGGAAATTCGGTCTTGTACACAGGAATATATTTGATGTCTATGAGGGTTATCACAGTAATTTTATGACCACTACTAACCAATAACCAAATTAATTCAGTGG